ACGTCGACGACGGTAGACACGATGGTGATAGTAGCGATGCTGGTGACGATGCTGACAGCGACGCAGGGGCAACCAGTGACGGTGCCGATGTTGGATGCTGATCACGCCGACGACGATGACGGCGTCTTCGCGTCGGTGATCAAGGTTTTGGAAGGAATTCGCAATGGGCGCGCGGCAGACGCGCGAGAGTGGCTCGCATGGTATAATCTGACACGGAACGTGCCACCCCAGCACGCGCGAAAGGGCGATCGAACGATTGCGATATGCGCGCGCGAAGCCCGCTTGGTTGTATGTTATGAACTTGTTGAGAAACGCATGGTTTCCTTAAGAATTCGCACGAGTGCGCGCTCGCATTTTTTGTTGAGAACCCGCGTTGCGAAACCATGTGTGTTTGTATGTTGTTTGGACACTCGGTTTTGAAACCCGTCCGAAACCGACGGTTTTTGAAGGATTTCGGCATGCGCGCACGACGACGCGCGCGCGTGCACTTCGTCCCATCGTTTGCAAGGGATTCTCGCGAAGGCACGCGCGCAAAGGCGTTCGAACGATTTCGGCGCGCGCGCGTGGGGGAGGGGGGCGATACCTGTTTGGCTAGGGTCTTATGACTTCATATTCAAGATGGACGATGGAGCAAGATCATATGTAAATTGCAATGCGGAACCCCGGGGGGTAGAGAGGGCGGGGGGGGTGGTAAGAATTTATTGTCTGTTCGCAGTAAATTGCCCACAACACTGCTTGCGCAACCATCCCACCCACCCACCCGCAATTTGGTTTGCGAAACCCTTGCGGCGGCGATCGCGATGATCGCTTGGAGTTGGCTGGTGCGTCTCTGCGGACGCGCTAGCCCGCGCGTGCTTGCGCGCGCAGCGGCCGGCTAGTTTTGCGCGGCCGCCGCGGCCGCGGTGGCGTTGGCCGTTGGGCGCTTCCCAGGGGGCGCTTTAGTGGGGGTCGGCGACTTGGGCGGGCGGGGTGCCATGGCAACTTTGGCAGCGGTAGACGCCCTGATGATGGTAGCGGTGCTGGCGGCGACGATGACCACGGCGACGGCAAGGCCAGTGGCGGCGCCGATGCTGATCGCGTCGATGACGATGACGGCGTCCTCGCATCGGTGACGAAGGCCGTGGAGGGAGTTCGACATGCGCGCCCGGCCGACGCGCGAGAGCGGCCCGCATGGTATTATTCAACGCGGAACGCGCCACCCCCCCAGCACGCGCGCAAGGGCGTTCGAATAAGTTCGACGTGTGGCGCGAGATGCCAGGTGGGCCGGATTTAAAGGGAATGTTGACGAACCGATGGTTAGCGAACGTTTTTTGGTCGTTGGTTGTTTTTCTCTCCTAGCAGGCGCGCGCGAAAAGGCCCGTTCGGTAGCGCGCTTTATCCCCATTGAACAATTTAGAGCAACGTGGCACACAAATGAAATCCGAACATATGTTGAATCAGACCAGGCGGGGCCCGCCGCATCAAGTGGCATCCGCTTGTCAATGTTGCGCATAGACGTTTCGTCTGCATTGCGCGTTGCATGTTAGCCATCGGATGAGACCGGCGGGAACGAAACCGCGAGGCATAACGCGGAACCGCCCGCGCCAGCGGCCTTGTGAAGGATTAATTTGGAAGAGCACCCGGGCATTCAGTGGCGGCCGCCTTCCAATGTTGCCGTTGGGCGCGCGAGCCAATGTGCGGCATATCAGTGACCTGGTCCATGGTGCACGCCTGCGCACGCTGCCAACGATGAGTGGCGGATATAACTTAACGATCCTCTTCGGGCGTTCCCGTCTGCAAATCATTCACGATGATCGCTTTGCTGATTTTGTTATAAATGTTCCTGACAATCCTCGTCGCGAAACGATATGTTTCCCAACCCTCCTATGTTGTGGTACTCGTTTTGAATAGAGCAGTGTGGTCATCCTGTTTCCTGTGTCCCCCTCTCCTCTTCTCTCGTGCCGTCGGGCTTGCGATCTGCGCAGCCGTCGCCACTTTTGTGGGCTGCTGAGAGGCCCAGCGGGGGTGGGTCCCACGCGGATCACCTCGGTAGCTCGCCGCCCCCAGAGGGGGCTTGCGATTTGCGCAACTGTCGCCACTTTCGCTGGCTCCTGGGAGGCCCAGCGGAGGCGGGTCCCACGCGGATCACCTCGGTAGGTCGACGCCCCCTGGGGGGCTTGCGATCTGCGCAACAGTCGCCACTTTTGTGGGCTCCTGGGAGGCCCAGCGGAGGTGGGTCCCACGCGGATCACCTCGAGACCTCGCGGCGTCCTGGGGGGCGTGCGATCTGCGCAACCGTCGCCACTTTCGCAGGTTTTTGGGAGGCCCAGCGGGGGTGGGTCCCACGCGGATCACTTCGGTAGCTCGCCGCCCCCAGGGGGGCTGCGATCTGCGCAACCGTCGCCACTTCCGTGGGCTCCTGAGAGGCCCGGCCGGCGGAGGTGGGTCCCACGCGGACCACCTCGGTAGCTCGCCGCGCCCTGGGGGGCTTGCGATCTGCGCAACTGTCGCCACTTTCGTGGGCTCCTGGGAGGCCCAGCGGAGGTGGGTCCCACGCGGATCACCTCGGTACCTCGCCGCCCCCTGGGGGGCTCGCGATCTGCGCAACCGTCGCCACCTTCGTTGGTCCTGGCAGGCCCAGCGGAGGTGGGTCCCACGCGGATCACTTCGGCACCTCGCCGCCCCCAGGGGGGCTTGCGATCTGCGTCATCGTCGCCATTTCCGTGGGCTCCCGGGAGGCTCAGCGGAGGTGGGCCCCACGCGGATCATTTCGGTAGCTCGCCGCCCCCTGGGGGGCTTGCGATCTGCGCAATTGTCGCCACTTTCGTGGGCTCGGCCGAGCGGAGGTGGGTCCCACGCGGGTCACCTCGGTACCTCGCCGCACCTCTGGGGGGTTTGCGATCTGCGCAACCGTCGCCACTTCCGTGGGCTCCTGGGAGGCCCAGCGGAGGTGGGTCCCACGCGGATCACCTCGGTAGCTCGCCGCCCTCTGGGGGGCTTCCTGCGCAACAGTCGCCACTTTCGTGGGCTCCTGGGAGGCCCAGCTGAGGTGGGTCCTACGCGGATCACCTCGGTACCTCGCCGCCCCCAGAGGGGGCTTACGATCTGAGCAAATGTCGTCACTTTCGTGGGTCCTGGGAGGCCCAGCGGAGGTAGGTCCCACGCGGCGGATCACCTCGGTACCTCGCCGCCCCTTGGGGGTGGCTGGCGATCTGCGCTGCGCAATTGTCGCCACTTTCGTTGGCTCCTGGGAGGCCCAGCGGAGGTGGGTCCACGCGGATCACCTCGGTACCTCGCCGCCCCCTGGGGGGCTTGCGATCTGCGCAACTGTTGCCGCTTTCGTGGGCTCCTGGGAGACCCAGCGGAGGTGCGTCCCACGCGGATCACCTCGGTACCTCGCCGCCCCCTGGGTGGCTTACGACTTGCGCAATTGTCGCCACTTTCGCGGGCTCCCGGGAGGCCCAGCGGAGGTGCGTCCCACGCGGATCACCTCGGTACATCGCGGCGCCCTGGGGGGCTTGCGATCTGCGCAATTGTCGCCACTTTCGTGGGCTCCTGGGAGGCCCAGCGGGGGTACGTCCCACGCGGATCACCTCGAGACCTCGCGGCGCCTTGGGGGGCTGCGATCTGCGCAATTGTCGCCACTTTCGCGGGCTCCTGGGAGGCCCAGCGGAGGTACGTCCCACGCGGATCACCTCGAGACCTCGCGGCGCCCTGGGGGGCTGCGATCTGCGCAATTGTCGCCACTTTCGTAGGCCCAGCGGATGTACGTCCCACGCGGATCGCCGCCCCCTGGGGGGCTTGCGATCTGCGCAATTGTCGCCCCCATTTCGTGGGCTCCTGGGAGGCCCGGCGGAGGTACGTCCCACGCGGATCACCTCGAGACCTCGCGGCGCCCTGGGGGGCTGCGATCTGCGCAATTGTCGCCACTTTCGTGGGCTCCTGGGAGGCCCAGCGGAGGTGCGTCCCACGCGGATCACCTCGAGACCTCGCGGCGCCCTGGGGGGTTGCGATCTGCGCAACTGTCGCCACTTTCGTGGGCTCCTGGGAGGCCCAGCGGAGGTACGTCCCACGCGGGTCACCTCGAGACCTCGCGGCGGCGCCCTGGGGGGCTGCGATCTGCGCAATTGTCGCCATTTTTGTGGGCTCCTGGGAGGCCCAGCGGAGGTGCGTCCCACGCGGACCACCTCGAGACCTCGCGGCGCCCTGGGAGGCTGCGATCTGCGCAATTGTCGCCATTTTCGTGGGCTCCTGGGGGGCCCAGCGGAGGTACGTCCCACGCGGACCACCTCGAGACCTCGCGGCGCCCTCTGGGGGGCTTCCTGCGCAACAGTCGCCACTTTCGTGGGCTCCTGGGAGGCCCAGCGGAGGTACGTCCCGCGCGGATCACCTCGGTACCTCGCGGCGCCCTGGGGGGTTGCGACCTGCGCAACTGTCGCCACTTTCGTGGGCTCCTGGGAGGCCCAGCGGAGGTACGTCCCGCGCGGATCACCTCGAGACCTCGCGGCGCCCTGGGGGGCTGCGATCTGCGCAACTGTCGCCGCTTTCGTGGGCTTCTGGGACGCCCAGCAGAGTTGCGTTTTACGCGTTGCCGCTACTCTTCTTGCTGCGCTCTTTTGATTTCACTGTTGTGTGCTCTTCTTCCGCACTGCGGGTTTTTCAACATGCCCGTCAGCATTGAGTGGTCCTGAGTGTAATCACCATATGTATAGAAAGGGTTGGGTACGTCGCAGGGTAATTTTCGGGGCACTCGAGTTTGATCTCTTTGCGAACCCTCATGTTCTTGAGGGCGCCATGCGCGTCTTTCTGCTTGTGCAAAGGATTCTTCAAAACTGATGAGTTCTGATCAACGGGCGTGCGCGCATAGTGCTTTGCACAGGGGATGAGGGGGGATGCCGGTTTAGCAGGGATGATGCGAGTTCACATTTTGGACGGGCGATCGGGCGGAATCGCATTTGCATTGCAACGCGAACGGGGTGGGGTCGATTTCAAGATTTTTTAGAAAGGAGAATCTACGTGGTAAGGCTCAAGCGATTGCTGGTTCTCTTTGTTCCGTACCTAAGAAACAAGCGGCGAGCGCAGGTTTGAGCGGGGCGGCGCCCTGGCTCTTCGCCGATAGAGCTGGTGGAGATGCCGCGCGAAGCTCGGCGGCTTCGCCGCCAGCGCAAGCGCGCAACTCGGCGCGAGCGGGGGCGCGCCTGCGCGGACGAGCATGGCGAGGCGAACGCGCTGGACGACAGCATGGGCTGGGAACTGCAAGACGACAGCTGCGCCGACAGCCTCGCGAAGGCTGGCGGCGAGGCTGCCGTGGGCGAGGCGGTCGCGGGCGGCGAAGACGTGGCGGCGGGCTTGGTCCTGACCTCTGGAAAGCAGCGGCGGCGGCGGCGGCGACGCCCGCGGGCGCGGCTGCTGGCGCGGCGACGCCAGCGCCCGCGGCCATTTGCTGGGGGCAGGAGGCCGTGCGGGAGTCGATGTTGAGGAGTGGCCTCGACTTCGGCGATGTCCTGGGCATCGTCCGCTGCGGGAAGGGCCTCGTTCCGGACCGAGTTCGCAAGGTTGCCAAACCATTGGTTTTAATTTGTTTCCGGGAGCCTCGGTCTTGACGCCATTGCGGAGCATTTGGTCTTAGATGATGTTTGGCACGCTCGCGACGGCGCGCGCGCGCGTGTCGATGCCGCCGCGCATTTTGCAAGGGAGTCGCGACAAATTGCTGGTGCGAAAACGGGAGGGCGTGCGCGCGTGGTACTATTTGACAGGCGTGAGGCTGGGGGGGTTGTGGGGGGGGGTCGTTGCCCGATATGATGGGATGATTTAAACTCGTAATTTAAATGGGCCATGGGGCTGACTCATATGGGTGTGTGTGTATGTGTGTGTGTGTGTTGATGTTGATGTGTGTGTGTGAACGTGTGAGTGCGGGTTTCAGGGGTGGGTGTGCGTGCGCGCGTGCGCGTATGCGTGTGCGTGTGCGCGCTCGTGTGTGCGTGTGTGTGTGTGTGTGTGTGTGTGTGTGTGTGTGTTGGTGTGTGTATGTGTTGGTAATGGTGTTGGAGTTGGTGTTGGTGTTGGTGTTGGTGCTGGTGTGTGTGCGTGTGCGTGTGCGTGTGCGTGTGCGTGTGCGTGTGCGTGTGCGTGTGCGCGTGCGCGTGCGCGTGCGCGTGCGCGTGCGTGCGGGTGCGGGTGCGGGTGCGGGCGCGGGTGCGGGTGCGGGTGCGGGTGCGGGTGCGGGTGCGGGTGCGCGTGCGCGTGCGGGTGCGGGTACGGGTGCGGGTGCGGGTGCGGGTGCGGGTGCGGGTGCGGGTGCGTGTGCGTGTGCGCGTGCGCGTGCGCGTGCGTGTGCGTGTGCGTGTGCGTGTGCGTGTGCGCGTGTGCGTGTGTGTGTGTGCGTTGTGCGTGTGCGTGTGCGTGTGCGTGTGCGTGTGCGTGTGCGTTGTGCGTGTGCGTGTGCGTGTGCGTGTGCGTGTGCGTGTGCGTGTGCGTGTGCGTGTGCGTGTGCGTGTGCGTGTGCGTGCGTGCGCGTGCGCGTGCGCGTGCGCGTGCGCGTGCGCGTGCGCGTGCGCGTGCGCGTGCGCGTGCGCGTGCGCGTGCGCGTGCGCGTGCGCGTGCGCGTGCGCGTGCGTGTGCGTGTGCGTGTGCGTGCGCGTGTGCGCGTGTGCGCGTGTGCGCGTGTACGCGTGTGCGCGTGTGCGCGTGTGTGCGTGTCTGCGTGTGTGCGTGTGTGTGCGAGTGCGCGCGTGTGTGTGTGTGTGTGTGTTTGTGTGTGTGTGCGCGTGCGTGCGTGCGTGCGTGCGTGCGTGCGTGCGTGCGTGCGTGCGTGCGTGCATGCGTGTGTGCGCGCGCGTGTGTGTGTGTGTGTGTGCGTGTGTGTTAGGGGCTGGGAGTACACCTTGCAGACTTTGACGTTATTTACTCCAGTGCTCGCGCAACCATCGCACCCACCCACCCCGCGACTAGGTTCGCAGTTTGCAGAATTCGCGCGGCGGTGATTGACTGCTTGGCGCTGGCTGGTGCATCGCCACGGCCGCGCTAGTGCGCGCAGGCTTGCGCGCAGAGTGGCCAGCTAGGTCGGCGCGACCGACGCGGTCGCGGTGGCGTTGACCGCTGGGGACGTACCAGCGCGTCTCGCAGGCCGCGCTGGCGCGCGGGCGCATGGCGCGCGGGCGCAGTGGTGCGAGTCGGTGGCTCGGGCGGTCGTGGTATCATGGCGACGTCGCTGACGGCAGACACGATGATGGTAGTTGCGATGATGGTGACAGTGGCGACGATGACGACGGCGCGGCCAAGGACGGCGCCGATGCTGGTCACGCCGATGCCGATCATAGTGTCCACGTGGTGGCGATGAGGATTGAGAAGACCTTGCGGCTGGTGCTGCCGATCCTGACGGGGACGGGCCGTGACGGCGACGTCGGCGGCGACGACGACGCTGACGCGGGGCAGAGTCGTCAAAATTGTTTTGTGGGGCCTCTTCGGAGCGCGCTCGCAGGCCATTGGAGGGCAATTTTGGGCCTCTTGGGGATCTCTTGAGGGCCCCTTCGGGTTTCATGGGGGCCTCATGGGGCCTCCTGGGAGCATTTGGGGGCCGAGGCTCAAAATGGTCGCTCAGGTTCCCGTGTGGGGGTCCTTTTGGAAACGTTGTAGGGCCTCCTGGGCCGCCTGAGGGGCCCCAAGGGCCCTTGGGTCGTTTTGGTGAGCCGAAATGGCGAAATCGCCCAAATACCCTCATGTTGTTTTACGAGTTGGGGCCGTGTTTGGTGTGCTCTTGGAGGCATCGTCTTGGACACCGCTTTGGCTGTCAGGAGGCCATCCCCCCCAGGACCCCTTCCAGGATCCCCCGTGGCTCCCTTAGGATCCCCCCGGCACCCTTCCCATGACCACCCCCTGCATGTGCCGGCGATGACGATGTTGGCAGGATGTCGAAATTCGCGCGCGGTCAACGTGCGCGACTGGCCCGCACGGCGTGATTTGACAAGAATCGTACCCGCCCCCCCCCCAACAAGCGCGCAAAGGCGTTTCAATGATTTCGACACGCGCGCACGAAAGACCCGTTCGGTCGCGGTGCGTGGCAGTGTAGAGTGTCGTCTGAATTGGAAAGGGCGCACGCGCAGATGTTTCCGCGCGTAGCCCGAGTTTGACTCGCGAATTAAGCCGACTTGAGTGGAGCTGAACTGAACTGAATGGAACAGACTGGTCACACCTCTTACGCGATGGTTGCGTTTTCGGCCGCCAAAGGCGCAACCCATGGCGCGTCCGATCGGAAACGGTTTTATTCTCGACCGCCAAGGGCGCAACTTATGGCGCAACCGATGGGAAACGGTTTTATTATCGCCCGCCGAAGGCGCAACCTATGGCGCAACCGATTGGAGACGGTTTTTATTCTCGGCCGCTGAAGACGCAGTTTCTGGCGCAACCCTTGGTAGTGAGCCGATCCCTTGAACCGAAAGCGGGCCAGCGAGGGCGTCGAGGACCCAGGTGCCAGGAGAAGGACGATGAGCAGGAGGAAGATGAGGAGAAACGAGGACGAGGTCCTAGACGAAGACGACGAGGAGGAGCTGGAACAGGAGGAAGACGAGGAAGACGATGAGGATGAGGAGGAGGACGATGAGGACGACGACGACGATCAGGATGGGGAGGAGGACGGGGAGGAATACGAGTAGTACGATGACGAAATGTGAGCATTCGCATGCGTGCGGGGTTACTCCCGATTTATGCTCGCCGTCTTGGCTGGCAGTGGTGGCCAAGCGGCGAGCTGCCTTGTGATTGACAAATCATGTGGCAAAGCCATTGTTGCTGTATCTGTCGTCGGGAACCTCGATCTTGAATTCCCCACGGATCGAGGAATTTCGGAATGCGCGCGCGACGCCGCGCGCGTGTGGACCCTTGTCATGTTGTAGCACGGGATTCTTGGAATTGCACGATATTTGGTACAGCGGGTGCGCGCGCATCCTGGGGCGAGCGAGGAGCGGGGCGATATGATTTTGGCCTGGCTGGGATGGTCCAGGTTCACACTTAAGCTGAACGATGGGGCAGAACCGCATGTAAGTTGCATTTAATTGCCCCAAGGCGCGCCGATAATTCCAGGGGGGGGCTTCCGATTTTTTCCCACAACTCAGAATGTGCATGGTCGAGGCTGTGTAGTGCAATCTGCACGACGCAGTCTGTAGGGGGCCACGGTGCGAACCCTACCCCCACCCCCACGATCTTTGGGGGTGGGGGTGGGGCAGGGTTCGCACGTGGCCCCCTTAGTCTTAAGTCGGGCCCGTCCCTCTACAGGAGGAATATTCAAGAATTGTCCAAAGATAGTCTGGGTATTATCTGAATAGCATTTTACCTAACAGCGAAGACTGATAGGTTTCTAGTGGGATCAAAAGAGAGCAGCAGATCACTCCACAGGGGGGTCCGGGCAGGTGTTGGGAGTTGCCGGGCGGCAGTGAGCCGGGCTCGTTTTTCACCAACAGTCACACACTTCGTGCTCTTCGCCTTCCCAGAACTCCATTCCCAGGCCACATTCTGGGGGGCCGGATGCAACTGTAGGCCACTTCGTGCTCTTCGATTTCCCAGAACTCCATTCCCGGGCCACATTTTGGATGCCCGGAGCCAACTGTAGGCCACTTCGTGCTCTTCGATTCCCAGAACTCCATTCCCGGGCCACATTTTGGATGCCCGGAGCCAACTGTAGGCCACTTCGTGCTCTTCGAGTTCCCAGAACTCCATTCCCGGGCCACATTTTGAATGCCCGGAGCCAACTGTAGGCCACTTCGTGCTCTTCGAGTTCCCAGAACTCCATTCCCGGGCCACATTTTGAATGCCCGGAGCCAACTGTAGGCCACTTCGTGGTCTTCGACTTCCCAGAACTCCTGGGCCACATTTTCAGCAGGGGCAAGAGCACGACGAGGAGGAGGACGAGCAAGACCAGGAGGACGAGGACGAGCAGGAGCAGGACGAGGAGCAGGAGGAGCAGGAGAAGAAGGACGAGCAGGAGGAGGAGGAGGACGAGCAGGAGGAGGAGGACGACCAGGAGGAGGAGGACGACCAGGAAAAGGAGGAGGAGGAGGAGGAGGGGAGGGGGAGGACTACCAGGAGGAGGAGGAGGAGGAGGAGGAGGGGGAGTACCAAGAGAGGAGGAGGGGGTAAGATGAAAGGAGAGGAGGAGAGGAGGAGGTAAGAGGAGGAGAGAGGAGGAGGACCGAAGAGAGGAGGAGTGAGAGGAGGAGGTGTGGAAGTAACCTCGAAGGAGGAGGAGAACGAGACCACCAAGGAGAGGAGAGGAAGGAGTAGGAGGAGGAGGAGGAGGAGGAGTAGGAGAGGAGGAAGAGGATGAGAGAAACACCAGGAAGGAGGAGGACGAGCAAGACGATGAGGACGAGAACGAGGACACCAGAAAGGAGATGTGGAGGAGGAGAGGAGTGAGGGGAGGACTACCAATGAGTAGGAGGAGGAATAGGAGAGGAGGAAGAAGGAGGAGTAGGACGAGGATGAGGAGGAAGGCGAAGGAGGACGAGGAGGAGGAGGGGGGGGGAGAGCACCAAGGAGAGTAGAACGAGGACCACCAGGAGGAGGATGGAGGATGAGGAAGAGATGAGAGGAGGTATGAGGAGGCGAGAAGTCCGGCCAGGAGGAGGAGGGCGAGCAAGACGAGGAGGACGAGAACGAGGACGAGCAGGAGGAAGAGGAGCAGGAGGAGGAGGAGGAGGAGCAGGAGAAAGAGGAAGAGGAGGAGGCAGGCTGAGGCTGAGGCTGTGACTGCGACTGCCGTTGCCGTTGCGACTGTCATCGCGAATGCGACTACGACTGCGAGAACAGCAGAATTCGACAACTGGATTTTCATCTGAATCTTAAGGGGAATGCTTTCAGATATGCTTCTCCACATCGCGGAGGGCCGGATGCAACAGTCACACACTTCGTGCTCTTCGAGTTCCCAGAACTCCATTCCTGGGCCACATTTTGGATGCCCGGAGCCAACTCTAGTCCACTTCCTGGTCTTCGAGTTCCCAGAGATCCATTCCCGGGCCACATTTTGAATAGCCAGACGCTTCATAATCCTTCCGCCACAGCCGTGTTTGGTTCAGGACTTGCTAGTGACACTGCAGTCCACTGCATTCAATCGTGCCACTGCATTCATTCACTGCAGTCCACTGAGTTTCGATTGCATGGCGTTCCCCTGGCCGTACCCCCATGTCCAACGTTCATCCGCAGCCTCTGCTCCGCGAGGCTCGTCCGAAGTGTCGCCGCCTCGCGGTGCTTCTCAGCCTGCGCCGCCTCGCGGTGCTTCTCAGCCTGCGGAGGAAGGTGGACAGACGCCTGGCTCTGGCGCTGTGCAGCCAGCGTCTTTCACGGTCGCCTCGTTCAATTTCGGGTTCGAGCAGGGCATGATGACTGGTAAGCAGGCGGCCACTCACTGCGCTAACTTCGGAAGGGTGAGCGCCACGATAGTGGAGACCGCTGATGCTGATATTGTCTGTGGCTGCGAGGTCGGTGCGTTCCGTGAAGGCTTTCGCCGAGCAGGGATCAACGTGACAGAGATCCTCAGTAAGCCTTTCGGTGTGCATTCGCTTCTCGGAGGTCGACAACTACTTGACTCTCTGGGGGTTCCGCGGTGCTTCTCAGCCTGCGGAACTGATTCTGTGCGAAGACAGCAAAGTTTACAGGCCTCCTAGCGGCCGAGAGATTGATGCTGTTATTTCACATTTTGAGGTGAACAAACCAGGCCATGACAAGTACCACGTGGTGATCGCCAACATGCACATCGTGTGCGGCAAGAAACCGCCGACCATCCAGACTCGAAAGCGGACAGTTCGCCATCTCCGCATGCACCTGGACTGCATGGCTCAGATTCTCAATGCTTCGGAGCCGCACGTGCCAGTCGTTCTGCTTGTAGTCGGCGACGACAACCTGACTTTCCAGGAGGCGCGGGAGGCTTACCTGCGCCAGCAGAACGACGAGAAGCTCTGGGAGGTCCATGCCACTCCGGCCGACCTCAAAGGCGACCACGTCGCGGTCTGCGGAGCAGTCGCCCGTTTCTGCTCCATTGCCGTTGGCGCGTCTTTTACGGATCGTGGCATGCGCAACGACGCACACGATGCGGTGGCGGTTGTGCTCACTCTCCCTGGTGTTATTCAGCCTGGGGAGAGCAAGAGGCGGAAGATTGTCGTCGAAAACGTCTCCGACGCCGACGTCAGCGTACAGGCGGACGCCGAGTCTTCTGTGCATTGGGATCGGTCGCCGAGTTCTACTCCTCCGCTTTCACCGACTTCACCGGGTGATCCCGACTACGTCGAGGATGTCGTTCAGAATCGCGCGGACGACTTGCACAGGGAGCTGAGGCAGCTTTGGGGCGACAGGTACGACGAGGAGTACGAACCGAAAGTCCTCCATCATCTCAGTCTCTTGCTTTTCAAAAAGAGGAAGTCCACGGAGCCAGCGGACACTGATCCAGCTGGCGCTCCTCAGCCT